CATAACTGATGCTTGAATAGGAAACTGGTGCTATGGAAAGTATTTTTTCTTTTTTCATAGAAGTAGTACCCATTTAGTATAAATAAGACATCCAAAAAGTTATATTTTGATTTTTTTTCTTTCTTGAAGTAACTTCAGTTCTTATCTGGCAGCAACAAAGGATTTGTTCCTCAAAAAGGTTGTTCTAAAGCAGTTGTAGTATCAGCAGGCTAAGGAGCCTGACCGTTGCTTCCACTCATTTACTTCCCTGTAGCAGGACACTGGCTGAAATACTTGTGCTTTTCCAGAGAAGCACGGCTTTACACACACTTGTATGTGAGTGTGAGGAGCATCACCGTGAAAATGGCTGCTAGGTTCACAGGGATCAAACTTGATGCTTGGTCAAAAGCTACACTCAGAGACTCTAAATAGATTGGAGAGACACAGGTGCAGCTGTGAGGCTGCAAGACAAACCAGATCTGTATTTTTTTCTTCTATAGGCTTTCCTACCTGGCTTTTTGTTGCTGTTTTGTTTTTAATCTTACAAAAAAAAAAATCACTGCACACTTAATTAATTCACTACAAAACGTGATGGTGAATATTACTGTCCCGTTTTTCAGGTGTTAAAAAAAAATCTCAACCATCTTGAATCACCACTACTTGCTATAGGGCTGGAAAGAGGAGGGGTTAAAAGATTGAAAATTCACCTCTTTCTTGGGTGTCTGGAAGTTGATTGTTTCACCTAGATCTATCATTTACAAGCAGTGAACATTGAACAAATAAATCGTGTAACATCCTTGGACCTCAGTTTTCTCCTTTGTAAAATGGAAATTATGTCTACCAGAATCTATAGTAGCATACCAATCCTTTTTTAAAAGATTTATTGGCTTTTATTTTATGTGTATTATGTTTTGCCTGCATGTATGTCTGTGTACTACCTGGTAACTGCAGAGACCTGAAGAGTGTTGAACCCTTTGGAACTGGAATTATAAGACTGTTGTGAGCTACCATGTGGATGTTGGGAGTTGAATATGAGTTCTGGAGGAGCAGCCAGTGTTCTTCCCTATTGAGCCATCTTACCAGCCCCAGCCCCTAAGTTTTTACCTGCAGAATGGAGATACCAGTACTAGAAGCTATTGTTATGCTTATGGACCATTAAGTTAGGCCTTTGTAAATCATGGTAGTTATCAAAGAAAAGGAAAATTAAAATATAAGTTACCAGTGTAGAGAAAGTAAAGACCTTTTCCTTTTCTTTCCCATGGCTTGAAAAGGAAGGTGAGTGAGGCTGAAGCAAAGCATTACTTTTTAAAGAACCTCAAGAGAAGTAGGAACCATGAAGTTTTTTTCTCAGATCAGAGCTTGTCTTCAGGCTGTTCTTGGTCCTGATCAACCCAGTGTTTGCGCCCAGCTAGGAAAACAGATGGTAGAACTTGACCAGCCTTCAGGATGGATAGAAAAGGTAAAAAGGGGGAGGAGCATGGGACTAGAATAGCTCTGCAATTAAGAGCCAATTAATGAGCTCAACAAGTATTTTATTTGGAGAGGAACTTAGCTTTATCTGTTTTGGAGTTTCTCTTACCAGCCTTAACAAGGGAAAAGTTTTCCAGAAACCTCCTTACAATGGTCACAACCATGAAACTTTCTGTCCAATCCCTGTATTACATTGACTATGAAGTTGTTATTCAATAAAAAAGATAATGGTTAGGAAGATGGTTCAATGCATGGGTACCAGCAAATGCATGAGGACCTAAATTTGGAAACTCAGAGTTCACATGAGTGGCATTTTATGTCTGTACTACGGGAAGAGTGGTGACAGGCAGATGCCACAGGCTTGCTGACATTTATTCTAATTGAAATGGTAAGCTTTGGGTTCACTGTAAGACTGTCTCAAAACTAAAGTGGGGATTTATAGAGGTAGACAACCAACATCAACCTCCAGCCTCCACATATCACAGAAACACACAGAGGGACACACACACACCACCCCACATACACATTAAAAAACAAACAAACCTGTTTCATCTCATATCTCTGAAGGAAATTTAGAGGTAACATGTTTAATCTAAAATATAATAGTTTCAGATGCCAAATAAAAGGTATTGAGGGAAGGTTAGAAGACAAAATTTGATTTTTCATTTTTTAAAGGAAGGGTCCAGTTCCTTTTATTATGTTATAAAGCTCTGACTATAACACTAAGATATATAGCACTACCATGAGAAAGTTAGGATTCACTAAGAATTTAAACTCAGTCTCATGACCTCAGAGTCATTATATAATGCTGCCCCTCCCTAAAGGATCTCAGTAGAATGGACAGAATGGCTGTCTGCCTGATGTCCTCATTCACTAAAAATTGATATATTAAATGGACACCTAGAAGATCTCTGTAACTTCTACAATCCCCAGTCCAGTTGTAGACTTCTGTGTAACAATAGGTGTTTCTGGGGTAGCATATGGGTATCTGAAGAGGAAGGCTGTGCTGTTCCACTTGGAGAAGATGGAGATTTTACAGCATTTCAGATAAAATCATATGAACATGTGCTGGCTCATGTAATAAGTAATAACAGAACAGAGAGGAAATGGAAGTTATGGGTAACCCACTAGAAGAGACCATATACCAGTTGGGGTAATCTGGGCTACACATTTAAGGTCCTCTTTTTTATCATGAGAAACAGGTTGCTCTGCAAAAATATGCTTTCTTTTTCTTTAACACACCCCCCCATCCATCACACCAAAGCTGTGATGTCCATATGGGTGACTACTATGCCCTTCTTATTTATTCTGGACCTGACATCCAGACAATCAATAAATATTTAGCAGTTGATGAAATCAGTAAATGACATGTCAGAGTCATGGAGTCTCATGCTCTAAACAGTGAGATAATTCCCTTTCAGGTCCAGGAACAGATCTCTCTTAGGGTAATGAGAATAGATTTTTGTCAGTCAATACCTCTGACCTTTTCCCTGGTAGACTCCAAGTTCAATATAGTTTTATAGCCTGAACACTAAGCCAGGCATTGGTAGCACATGCCTTTAATCCCAGTGCTTGGGAGGCAGAGGCAGGTAGATCTCTGAGTTCAAGGCCAGCCTGGTCTACAGAGTTCCAGGACAGTCAGGGCTACACAGAGAAACCCTTTCTCAAACTAACTCTCCCCCCACCACCCCAAAAAAATAAATAAATAAAAAATAAATCATACATGATTTGATATTCTCAGTTTGGGGTTAGGGTTATTGACCTCTAAGACTATGATGAAAATCATGGCCTTTCTCAGACAAAGGGACACACAGACAAAACTCTGAATACAATTTCAGTAGGTTCATGAATGCTTTATCTCAAGAATACTAAAAAGTGAACTGCAGCTCAATGAAAGGGCATAGTCACCATCAGTCCTCCCATATTTGAAGTAAGACTGACAGAAACAAAAAGAGCTTGCTCTGAACATAATACCAAGGGGGAGAATATGGGCCAATTTTATCTATGCTTTGATTATGGCCACAATCTTTTTATAAAAGATCCTTTGTCCCCTTTGGGACCGATGCCACCAAATACTGCTCTAATGACAGTCCTCTGGTCAGCCCTGCCTACATGCATCCTTTCTTCCATGACTGGACAACCAGTAGGAAAAGAGTAAGGCAGAATTCTGATGTGGCATATTACTGAATTGGCTCCTCTGGCTTCTGGAGTACACTCCCCTTAATCATAGGCCTGTATCTTAAGTGTTTGTACCTTGGAAGTACTAGAACCCTGCTGCTAGAATACTTTCTATTGACTGTTTCCTCTTATGGAAACAAAGAGCACAGATTTGGGTAGACAAAAATAATCCTTTCTGAGAACATGAACAGGTCAGAGCTGGGAGTGAATACACTACAAACCATTTCTGTCTCTACCAACTTGAATCCTTAGATTTCCAGCCTTAATCAAACCTTGATCCCAAAGGACCCTCAGTTCTTACTTGAAGAGCTTCACTTTCTTCATCTGGGAAGTGCAGAAAATAATAATTCCAATATCCTGGGATTAGAGTGAGGAGTGATAGAAAGAATGGGTGAACAACCAAGTTCCAGGTCATGGAATTTCTGTATTCAGGTTCAGTAAGCAGGAAATCAAGTTGGCTCTTGTCCGTGTTTGAATCTAGAAGTAAATGAGGAGTGCCTAAGCAGGTTTGCTGACTTTGCCCTTCTGTATGTGTGCTCATCCTGCTGCCTTTCTTTCCCAGGACCAGTGGTACTTAACTCTGAGCATCTGAAGTGGTAGCCATGCCTTTGGGGCTGGACATTTGTGTTTTGTCTCTGAAACACTGACACTGGAGTCCTCTGGTTAGGTTACATCAGTACTGGCTGTGACTATTCTTTTCAAGCCTGTCTATTCCTGCCACCCTTTCTGTTCTTCTTAGAAGTCATTGTTGAGCACTTCTGTGTGTTCATTATACAACTTCTAGATAGCAATCATTAGTAAAATAGTATTAGTGCTATGTGCTTCAGTAGAAGGGGGAATGAGAATAAATACCAAACTATAAATGTGGTAAGGGCAAGGAAGGAAGGAACAGAGAATGACCCAGTGTCCTGTAAGGCAGAGCACTTCCTGAAAACTGACTGCAGCATGGGTGAGACCTTGGCTCCACCCAGTGCAGAGCACCATTCATTGCTGCTTCTTGTTTTGCTGACGTTGACCTAATAATAGGTGGCCTGACACCTGGAGGAAATCAAACTTTGGATTTCTATTAGCAGTTTATTTTGCTAATTAAAATTCTAAATCTGGTGATGCCCCTTGCTCCTTTACTCACTGTATATTGGGTACTGTGTATTTTGCATGTGTTCTTATTTGATCCTCTCACAACCTAAGATAGTAAGTTTTTAATTTTCATGATCACTGTAGTTAAATGTAGAAATCAGAAATCAAAGAAAGTCAGGCACTACTGCTCAGTTGTGGCAATTAGTAGCATGAGATTGTTCACCTGTATATTTATTGTTTTGCCTCCCTTCTGTGACTGATGTCTGAACTCAGCTGTTTTTCTTTTTCTTTTGTAGTGGTGCCAGTGAAGAAGAGGACACATGAAGACTTCCCATCCCTCGTGGAAAACACCCCTTCCCTGTGTGTATGTGACAGCGTGTATGTAATGGCTTCTGATATCTGTGAAAGCTGCCTGGCAACAAACTTCTTCCACTGGATATGTCCCCAGGTCCACAGCAGGCACACATGTCTTCAAGGGACAACAAGTTTTATGCATACTGACTGTGTGCTTCTTGTTCTTGTGTGGTAGGTCACAGGAAGAGTTACTTTGGTCAGCTTGGAGGCTCTTCAGGCAACTTCCCAAAGGCCACTTTGAACTGACTTACTCAGGAAAGCCAGTCCCTGAAATATTGTGCAAGTCAACAAACAGTATCAGTTCACTCCTTAGGAAGGTTCTAGAATACCTTGAAAGGAAATCAGTTTTTTTCCTTATCTGCAAACAGAAAACCCACTTTGTTGGTACTGAAGCTGAAAGCAGGACCACACTGACTCATTAGACAGTCTCTCGTAATCCAGTTCTGCCTTTGTGAAAGACATTAGGGCAGCTGGGTGGAAAATGGGCTTGAAGAGAGAGTCCAGAGCTAGAAAAGAAGATATTTTTAGTATGTGAGGTTATCTAGGACTTCAGATTCATAATTCAGTGCTGTGGAAATGGAAAAAGTGATTGAAGAGGTAGGAAGGGAATGACTTTAAGGAGTGTGAGGGGAAAGGAGCAAAGAAATCTGATTAAAAATTGAAATCAGTGTTTCAGAATTCAGATTGCCCAGATTTTCCAAAATGGTCACTAACGCATCTGATAAAAAAACCTAAATTCTTGGGCTAGCTATATGGATTAATAGGCCTGCCACAACATAGAAAGCTGGCATGTTTATTACCAGTGGGAATAGTCACTGTAAAATTTGCCAGTTCCACCCCCAGGTTAGCCTACTGTGGCTTCAGTACACTGTGAGGAGAATCCTTGCCACTCGCTGGCTAGCTGGATTCAGGACTATCTGCCAGCAAACATTCCCTCTATTTACTATAATTGGAACCCTCCCTGCCCCTGCAGCAGGCTTTCACTTCCCCTCCCACACCCAGCTCTCCCCTCCTGTGTAGCATGAGCAGGCATGCCCCAGAGCTGGATTTCCTGGCCTTCTCCCATTCCTAGATCACGTTCCTTACACCCACACTTTTCAGGGTCAAGGACACAGTGCTATACTGGGATATACCAACCACAAGCTCACATGTGTACACCACATCTTCTTGAAACCTGAGTTTTTCTTACCAAATGATTTGAAGTCAGGGGATAATCTTATTATTTAATAGAACAAGCAGTTAAGAAAAGAGAATGTTCCTGCCCTTAAACTGTTAGATAAAATAGGAGATTTGGAAGGTAACTCTTGTTTGCAAGTGGGCCGTGTATTCCTTCTCCTGCTTGTGGGGTATTTCCATATTCACATTGAGATTCTGCCTGAACTGTATCCAAGCAGCCTTGGGGTTGTTATTGACCAAGGTCTAGATTTCCAGGGTCTCTGCGGCAGATCAAGGAGTCTGCCTTGGGGGATATCCCCCTTTTCCTGCCTGCCTGCTTGCCTACAACCTGTGTACTTGGCACAAAGCTCTAGGGGTAGCTAATGTGTGTGTACAGGATAGTTCTGAGGCAGAAACAACGTGCTTACTGTAGGAGACTTAGTTATATCATTGTTCAATCCTGTGCATGCTATAAAATGATAATTCTTTTGAAGCCAGGAACCTGCCAAGCCTAGATGCTCTAGGTTAGGATTATCCTAGCTCACTACACAAATAAGGATATAAGGGCAGAGAGGAGTTTAAGATATATATATTCCCAAACTGGTGGCTAATAGATATATGGCTTAGACAATTTTGATACTTTGCCATTTGTCTACAAAGATTGGAGAATTTAATACACCCTGAGTTAACAACCTCCAATGATATTCTGTTTTTTAAAAAATTCTAAAAGAAGGCCCAAAACCACTCTAGAAAGAATGTAGAAAATCAGAAGATTGAAAAGACTTCAGAATTTGGAAGCTTGTGTTCTTTCCCCAGTAATCATTGTACATGTTGACCTTGTATTACCAATGGACAGATCATTGGCTTTCCACACCTAATCATGCTATTACTTTATATCAGTATTTGGGGAATCCAAGCATTTATGTAGTGGTTACAAACAGAAATATAAAAATATTTGCCAAGTTGTCTCTATAGATTATCATCTGTCTGGGATCCTCAAGGAAAGCATTTCCCCTTTGCTTAGAAAGCATTTGGATTTGCTTTATGGGCTCCTGCAGTTTCCAGCACCTGATAAAACTTTAACCAGGAAAGCATTAAACACAGCACAGCAGCTCTGCGGATCCCTCAGGTCCTGTGGCAGCGCTTATCAGTGTAAAAACTAGGGTGCTTTCTCAATGGGCAGACTTCTTCCTCATAGCTGGGACTGCTGCTTTGTCTTAGGCCACATCATCAGGAAGCTTCTTGCCTTTGAGGTCATTGTGAGTTAAGAGTTGTGTGTGTCCTGACTGACTGTGGACAGCAGAGTTGACCCAAATTGCTAGGGATAAATCAGGAACACACAGGTAAGAATGTCTCCAGAAATGAGTTGGGTACCCATGGCAAGTCCCAGCAGCCTTCTGAATGTTGAGTTTCTGAGTGCTTAGAGGGATTTGTTCTTTGATTTGATACCACTATATCCAGGACAGTTCCAAAAAGCGTTTGGCTTCTCAGCTCTGACAATCAGCAAAAGGACAGTCTAGGAGCCAGGCACTCTGTAGGTGTGCCCAAGGACAAATCTCTTGTCTTGTAGTTGCCAGGAAACTGGAACTAGTTTTGAACATAACTCTCCCTTACAGTTAGCCCTCTGCCCTGTACCATGACTCACCTACAGATTCAGAGAGAGAAAGAGGCTTTCAGTTCCCCCAGTACAGTATGCCTATTCACATTATAAACTATTTTTCAAAAACATCAAGATATCCTTACTCCTCTGCTTTAGTAGATATTGTAAGTACTCATTGTTAACTTGAGTATCCTTCCAGAAGCTGGGGACCTTTTCTTTTCAGTGCCATCCCCACAAAAAAAAAAAAAAAGTGTGTTTGTCCTTGAAGAGTGTAAAGTTTTCAGACCTAGTGAAGGTGATAGTAGCCTCAATATCTCCTGCTTCATCATTATAGAAAAAACAAATCTTTATATTTTAGTAAACCCAGCTATCATGTTCTGTACTCTGTGAGAAGGTGCCAATTCAAATCACTGACTTTAGACTCCCTGGGGTGGGTGGGTGTGTGTGTGTGTGTGTGTGTGTGTGTGTGTGTGTGTGTGTGTGTGTGTGTGAATGAGAGTGAGATTTATGCACATACTATGTGTTTAATGTTTAATTATTTAAGTGTTGATTCACAACAACCCTGGTGATCTTACATACCACCACAAAGGTTTCTTCTAACTCCATACAATGTCAACAGATAATTGGAGTGTGGGTTCCAGAATAGTTCCTAATGGTAGGTGTCAACTTTTAAAGCACTAAGCCAAGGTGACAGTCAGGAAGGAAATTGCACCCTAACCTCCTTCCACTATGTCTAATCTCATGGGGAATTTAGATGCGGTGTCATTTTGGTGACTTGGATCATTTTGGTCACTCCATTTGAGTCTGAGTGTACAGCTGCAGAATGTATAACCTTATAGTAGTCAAAAGTCTAGGAAGTCATTTCTCCCACAGAGAAAATGTCCTGCTGATTCCTTATATTCTGCTCTCATGTTATAGTGTTCAGTACAAGCTTTTCTGTAAATTGGTTGCATGTTTACTGGGGGTTGAGCACATCTAAATTTTTGTTTATTTTTTAAAGACAAAAATCCCAATCTAAATCAAGTCCAGCCCTGCCCTAAGGGAGCAAGCCCACAGGGAGACTGCAGATCTCACTGACCCTGCCTTTACCCAGCATTGTTTCTGAGGCCCCCACCCTAAGGAATTCTAAGAGCCCTAGGAGCTGAAAACAGGGAGATCATTTGGATCACTTGGCCTTACATGACCATGTGAGGCTGAGAACACACCAGAAATACCAGAACAAGTGTCAGAGCAGGAAAGTCAAAAAGATGAAGATATTTGGAAGTACGCTGATAGAGAAACTGCCAGAGTCGGTGCTGGACTTGGTGTGACTTTGAGGGGACCACTGATGTATACTTTATGGAAGTTAAACCTGACCAGTCTTTTACAGTGACAGGCCACATCGCATGAGTGGGTAGAACCAACAACTCCATTGTCTTCTGCCTGTTTTCGTGTACACAGTCACATTCCCTCCTTAGTCTTCTACCCTTTACACTAAACAAGGGAACACTTGGTCTTTCAAGGGAATTACACATCTGAGTTAATGTTTCAGTACATCATTTTCATACTGTAAATTATTTTGTAAGAGAGATTTACTGCTATCCCAGGATGTTCGGACTTGGCGCCCCTGTGCATTTGGAAATCAATAAACTATTACTGGAAATAACATTTGTCTTTCAGAGTTGTGCACAAAGCCCCTGTTAGGTGTAAATATTCATGACTATATATATATATATATCTGTGACAATGCTGGAGATGGTGGTGTTTGTGTTATTAGATGTGGGGACCTAGTTTACTCCTGACTTCCTAAAGGGCCTTAGGAGACCTCTGGAGGCTGGCAAAGGGTAGACAGAGAACCAAGCCAAGTGAACAATGCCTAGATTAGATTAAATTACATACATGGGTTGGGTAGGTTATAAGGGTCAGACACCACTCAGTGCTTTACAACGTTGATGGACTAAAGGGAAGCTCAAAATTTAGTTTTTGACAAATGTTCTTTAAAAATAAAAACTAGCCAGTGCCCTTGAGTAAATTATAGTTAAGCTGGCAAAGCCATCTCTGTGGAACTTTAAAGGTACCTACTTGAATAGATTTGGTGAGAGTTAAGTAAACTCACTTCAGTCTGATTTCTAACATAGGGCCAAAGGTTGATTTGAAACCTGGAATCATGTACTCAGGCCTTAAGTAGCCAAATGTGAAGATCAGAGATGCTAGAACTACATGGATCTGAAAATGCAAACCTTCCCAAAATCATAAAACTTAATGTTTCAGAACCCTAAATACCACCAGCAAGTATGTTTGTGAACCCTGTTCTAATTTCTATCTATCAAATATGTCTTCATTAACTCTACGTGATACTATGAGAACTTTGGGAAAAGGTTTTTTTAATTGATCATTTCTTGATTCCACTTTCATGTAGCCTCATTTCCTTTAGACTCATCAAAAAAGTGAAATTGCATCTTGTCTGGAATATCTCCTGGTCTTCACAAGGTCACCCAATAAGCCAAGCTGGGTTAAAGGCCCAGGACAGAAGACTGACTGTCTCCTGAAGCAATCATTACATCCTATTTCCTCCCCAGTTGCTGAGGGCGCCTCCTCTGCTGGACATTGGGTGGGAGGCTTTGCCAGGCACTGTAACACTTGGTAGTCTCCAGCATTTCAAACCACAGTGTATTGGAAGGTCTTCGTCTCTGCTTCCTGGTGCCAGTACCTCAATACCGCATCCTGTTTACCCAGTCCTTTTCATTTTATTATCTTTCCTTTAGACAGCTGCTTTTTTAATTGATCATTTCTTGATTCCACTTACATGTAGCCTCATTTCCTTTAGACTCATAAAAAAGTGAAATTGTACCTTGTCTAGAATATCTCCTGGTCTTCACAAGGTGCCAGAGTGACATATGCTCAACAGAAAATCAGACCCCAGTCTTTGAATAAGTGAGGATGA